TCATTTCCTATAGAATATTTTTTATAAATTTTCCTCGAAAACTTTCGAAATACTGTAAAAACCCATAGATTTCACGTTTTTGTGGCATATATAAACGCTTGTCTTCGCGATCAGTTTAACATGAGACACGCGCTAATAAATAGACCTCGCGTGGTAAATTTTTTTTTTCGCTTTTTGTCTTAAACCAGCTGAACATTGCTACGATGCATTTCCTCCCTGATATGTAAAACCACGAGTTTGGAAATCAAACCATAGAAATGCATTGCTTTGCCAGTGAAAATCAGACTTATACAGGAACATGACTTTTTGGCGTTGAGTCTTGAAAGTCTATAAAAGGCTAAGAAAACCTACTGCTGAAAAATCTACAAGTGAAAACCCGCGTAGAAAACGTCTGATTTTTATCATGGAGAATATTTTTTGTAGGAAAGTACGGTATTCAAAGCACCAAAGAAATGGCTTTTAAAAGGACTGTAACTTTACGCGCGAGTTTTCGATTTCCCGCCATCAGATTTGATGCGCCCACGCTATTGTCGTTCAGCAGATTCACGCATGCGCATGCAAAATGCCCTCCTGTTTAATTTTCCATAGCTGCTGTTATATGTGGCTAAATATCATTTAGGCAAAGTTAAAGTTGAGCGAGTTGGCCAGCGGTCTTCTCCCACTTCAGTATGTGACCTACGGGGCGGCCCGCGAGAAATTGCAGGGCTCCTTGTGTGCACTAGTGTTGCTTTGCATTGTAGCTTTGCTTGCTGATCGTAGCGGATCAATTTTTCCCTTCTTGCGAATCATTACGGATTCTTGCTCCCTCTTCTCCCTCCCTGCCTGGTGGTTTTGTCAGTATTTTTTCAGGTAAGTATTCTCTTAGGTAAGTATCTCCACTGAATTTATTCAGTATGACGGTGCCGGTTAGTGGCCGCTCTTGGGGTGGTTCCCGCTTCCAGGGTTGCCATGGATACCTCCTCTCTGCTTATTGCATTTGGCCCTCCTCTAACCTTTAAGGCAAGTGCTCCCAAGTTCATCATTAGCGATGAGTTTAACTTAGGTATTTGCTTTTAATATCTCCTTACAGTTTAGGTTTACGCGATCTTAGAGTTCAATGTTCAGCTCAGTACACAGCATGTATTCTTTAAATATATGCAAATCTGACACCGGTTTTGGGTATTTACCGCGGTAGAAGCGTGACTTAAATACATTATGATGCTGTGTCCTTTGAATGTCGGTTTAAAACTCTATCGCTTTGTTAATGTGACATAATTTCAATATTAAAGGAGATTCAAAGCTAGATATTTTTGTTATTATATAAACACCAATGAAATACCAGGTGAGCTTTCGCGCGAAAACATGATATCTTCACACGTGAAAATAACATGCTATTTTCACTCGTGAAAATATGACCGTTGCTATGGCTACATAATGAATCGCGCCTTTCGCAGGAAAAAACTGTTGCGGTGAAATGGTTTGGTATTTCGTTGGTGTTTATATAATAAATAGAACATTACATGGCCGCTTGGAGATACGAAATTTCTCTTCTCGTGTTAAAAATATTTCACTCGTTCGCTGCGCTCACTCATGAAATATTTTTCAACACTCGAAGAGAAATTTTGTATTTCCGGGCGGTCTCTATATACTATAGCATTTAGGTTTTTTACCAATTAATTGACTGGCTTCTTTATGCCACTACATAATTTATGCAGTTAAATATAAGTTTACAAGCAAGATCGGCCTTTTCGAATTTTACGATTCTCATCAGTTGCTATGTGGAATAAAGGCTCTGCTCAACTTACACATTTTTCCCCTGCTGAACATAAACTGTACCGAGCCGTATCTTGGTCCACTTCATAGAAGCTACATAATCTTCAAATGTTTTGTAAAATCCCTGAAAGAGTTCTCTTCACTGGAGCAATATGTAAAAGGTTTTCAAAGGTTTCACGCCGGTGATGATGTGCGCCCTGTCACCCCTTCAAGTTTTTGCTATTTTTTTCAGTCAAAAATACAATTACGAATGCAATACTAGGATAGATTAAACAAGATTACCGCAATCTTGAAAAGACCTCAAGAAGATGCGCAACATCGCTGACAAAGTACGTTTTGTAAAACGACGGAAAATTTATTGGAAACCCCGCCCAAAAAATCCCGCCCAAAGATCCTAACTCGAAAATCCAACTCGAAACCCTAACTCGGTAAATAGGCAACCTCAGTTAGCTGATGAGGACGGCAGTTTTAATTGGAGTGGGCAGGGTGAAGGAAACTTCGTCTGCGGCGCAGCCATAATTATAAATGATTTTTGAAAGAGGAAAGAAGGGTTGTTTACCATTTACAAATCACATGGGCAAGGGTTTGGGCAAATGGTAACCAAAATTAAGGATAGGCAAAATTCGTCCCGGAATCGCGTTTTCCATTTGTACAAATCAGTTTCATTTAACAAAAAACGACCGCGAAGGTCTGATTCGAAACTGGTATCAATGAGGGCTTTGGAGAAATGGAATACGAATTTCCGATTGGAACATACCGTCCGTCCTTTTCAGATGTTCCGTTGCTCCCGCGAATTTTCCGCTGGAACGACCTCAAAAGTCGTGTTTCATTTACTTGTCAACCGGATCTTCGCGAAACTTAAATGGTAAATAACCAAGTTCTCGCTTTTCCTTCTCCCAAGTATTCCCGCCAATTCGGGGCGAATGACTTCCTTTCACCACCTCACGCGCTTCCAATTAAGTTTCCTAAACCGTGCTTAATTTTTCAGGTTTGACGTCAGCTAATTTTCATTCCAATTCAAAAGAAAGCCTAAAGACAGTGGAGAATGAAGAAGATAAAACCAGCGTTATTCTACGAGAAGACTTTGTGCCTGACTTGAATAACAATTCGTTGCCGACGGCTGCCTATGCGATGAGTAAACCACGTGTAAAGGCAAACAATGAAATGTTCGAGAACGAAGAGGATAAATACAGTGATCTTCTAGGAAAGAAATTGTCGTCTGAGGTGAACAGTAATTCTCTTACGAAGGCTTCAAACGAACCACTAGCTCCGAAAGAAGACAGATTAGACGCGAATGAAACGAAGAATGGAACAGACATCTCCGATAAGACGGAAAAGGAAAGATGTAGTATCCCGCCGGATAAGCAATTCCCTATTCCCAAGCTTGCAACGAATCAGGCAAGTGAACCCGAGGAAGAAAGCCACCAAGAAGTCTACGTTTTTTCTAAATGTGAGTAAATTGATATGGCAAAATGACTACTGAATTAGCTCGTCATAGGTTTTAGCGAAAAAGTAGACTGCGGACAACGTAATTTGTTATGGTGGGGAAAACGTGCTCGTTTCTGGCCTCTCGGCGAATAGCTGCTCGCGCTTTACGCTTTTCCCCACTAACTTTGTAGAAAAAATACACAACTCTTATTAGCCGAGTCTGGGGTCCTTACCATAAATTATGAATCGGAACGTTGCACTTGGGCCATAAAATCGACGGGAAAAAACGCGGATCCCGTAATTTGCAGCACAGACCGAGAAAATGAGCCTAATAAGATGTTTTTTGGTTCTTGCTTCGGGGACCGGAAACAAGTGCGAGACAAGCGATTTGACAGTCATTTGACAGGCGTTATTCTACTTGAGAGTTTTTATTGGCTCACGAGAGCAATTACAAAGCATTACAAAGGCTACCCATTGGAAGTGAAATCAAAAACGCAAATGCGCCATGTTGAAAATGTTTATTCGGCCAAAACTAAGAGCACTGTAAGTTTTAACTCACCAATATAACGTTGGAGTCGAACTTTCTCCAAATCTTTTTTTTTCGTGAAAAAAGATTTAGAGCTGCAAAATGAGCATTTAGTTTTGAAATTTTGATCCGTACAGTAAGTTATAGACCGCAAATTGACCAATCGCAGGGCGAAAACAGACTAAGTCTTGTTAGGTACCAGTCAATTCCAAAACCGCCCAAGCCCCCTCCCGCCGGACTAATGGACTACTACTAATGTGACTGCGTGATGCAGTTAAGCCTTAATGTGTTGCTTGTAATGGACTGCGTGACTGCGTGATGCGGTTCGTAAGTCCAAAGCACGACGCCAACTCGCCAACGAGTCTTCAGTAGCACAATGGTTAGAGCATCCGATCTAGAACACGGAGGGTCGTGGGTTAGAATCCAATCTGGGGTCAAATTTTTTCTGTGTCCTCCTATGGCTGTTTCTTTATATCTCCCTTTCTTAACTTTATCACGGAGGTTTGCTCAGTTTAATAAAATTGTTCGTTTCAGAATACAATATAATAGAAAGGTGATTAATCATTTCTCGCTTTTCCTGATACCAAAAAAATTATGAAACGTTGTTAAAAGTAAGAAACAAACATGGCTTCCTGTTCAAAGCATGAAAACCCTGCTTATAGGTTGTTCTGACTGTGCATGTTTACCTATAGAGAATCTTTGTTTACTGGTGGAATCAACTGGAGCAATGGCCCTTGAACGCGGGGCACATGCTGAATGACAGAATTACGAAGTCCTTTTGCTCACGACCGCTTACCAACGTTTTGACACTTAAGTCAAATGCCCGACAAGACGGGCCTCATTTTGGATCAAATTCCACACTGTACAGAGCTAAGCTCCCGCCAAATGCCCGGGGTATGCCCGGGGGGGCATTGCTTTCAGTCTAGCAAAAATGAGGAAAAATGGAATGCTTGCGTTATGTCAGCCAATACAGAGTCGTATTTCGTTGTATTTGTATTAGAAATGCTCCAAATATGTAGAAAAACTTTCTGAGACCCTAAGAAATGGAACGTACTACACTTTTAAAGAATTTTGTGAATTTGGATGTTATTTATGTTCTGATTTTGATTAAGGTACCCCAAGGGCGTTTGGAGTCAAGGGAAAGGAAGTAACTTATCAGAAAGGCTCTGTACTGGATTTGGAAGAGAACAGGGAGGTAGAATTCAAATCTTTTGCAAATGCACGTCCCTCGACGCTTCCTTGGAAAATCATGGAGAAGGCAAAAAAGTTCATTTGTGCCTGCTTAAATGCTGACAGCAAAGGAATAATCTACTTTGGAGTTGGAGACTCACAAGAGCAATGTTCAAGGTTTAAACGCGGTGAGATCCTTGGACTTGACGTTGAGGATGTCGCTGATGACATAATGAAAGCTTTACAGTTCGTTCTTGATGATCACATTAAGAGTGATACTGGCCCACTTCAGAAAGGAGGGGAGCAGAACTGTGTAAACATAGAGTTTGTTCCAGTTGTAAACCAAGAGGGCCGCACAGGTCTTTCTGTCATCGAAATTGAAGTGAAGCGAGACTGGAAGTTCTGTAAGAATAACGTCTATTTTTGCAAATCCTGGGTTGAAAAACGAGGAGTTTATAAAGATGGAGATACATCTGTAAAGAAGGGCCTAAGTGACTTTTACAAAGTATCCAAAGATCAATACGACGTTGCCATTAGGACAAATGGCGCCTCAACAAACGTGAAGCAGCATGAGGTTAATCGGCAAGTGAAAGAACCTCTTATGGCAAAGTACAAAGAATGGAAGAGAGAAGCAAAATTGGGTAAGGATTTATTGTTTGTCGGTTTAGTTCCCGCCAGCTATTCATTTTTTCTTTTCACTCTAACAAAGGACTTAATTCTTTAGCATTCCTTTAGAGAACATGTAATGAATACTGTACATTAATTTAATCAAGCAACTCGGACATATAGGCAACTGTACAACTGATGGGGAACCACTGACAAATAACAGTCTTTTTCATTCGATGCAAATTTTCTTACATTTTCACGTGATCTGTAAATAACTGCCTACAAAAAGTGGTTTGCTCATGCGCAATGTCGTCCAACTGTGTTTGGCTACAAATTATATTCAGCTCATGCGTAAATGAAACCACACTTTTCTCCTTCTTACGATCGCTCTTGCGTGAAAATGGCAGATCGCTTGCAAATAATTAAAAAAACAAAATCGGTGGTCGAATGATAAAACAATTATTGGACTCGGTTATCACAAAATATCGTGATTCTCGCAGATCAATTATTTGCTTCATCCTTCGGCTTCGGTAAATAATTGATCTACTCCCCACGATATTTTGCTCCACCTCGTCCAATTATCGTTAAATACATACAAGCTAAGAAGATCTAAGAGATATAGACATTTGTTACTGAATCTAATTAGAGATGAATGTTTGTGTACCGTTGATGCTGGGGGTAATCTGCAATTAACCACTTTCCCACTTGCTTTATATGTTACAAAACTGGGTTCAATTTCGACCGTGTACTGTGGGTCAACTGACACGTTTTCTTATTGAACTTCAAACAATAGTGGTTGCGTTTGTGTCTATACGTGTGGGCGTTTCTTGTGTTCCTTTTGACAACAAAGTGTCATCACAGGAGCATGCTCATCGCCATTTCTTTTCTTTCTTTGTCAGGAATCGATGAGACAGCCGAAGGTAAGTAGATTTGTTAATAGTTGTTGATTTTCAGGGTATTTTCGTGACTAAACCAAAACAACGTTTTCTATGGAACATCATATTTGCGTTATTGACCGAAGCTTCATCAAACATTGCCAAGAGAACGTTTTTCTTGCGAGACCAAAGCAGAAAATGCCGAGCGGGCAAGATAAGCTCATCTTGCCCACTCGGGTAGCCCATCAGAACATAGGATTCGCTTCATCTTGCCCCCTCTCGGAGCCAGTCATATAATAAATAACAATTATTCACCGAAGTGAAGGTGGCTAGTGGTGGCAGGAAATTTACCGAGGCCGCTTGGCGGCGAGGTAAATTACCACTAGCCGCCGACATTTTTAGTATATACTAAAACAGTGAGATAATTGAGCACAAAAATGATGATTTTTAACTAATTTACTGTTGCCAACGATTACAATTTTGGCGCGCAATGACCGAACGGCCGTGGTTGTCGCTTTTCTTGCCGACAAATAAAACTTTTGAAGGCATTTACTTAGCTCTTGCGGGGAAATTTCTTAAAAAGGAGTTGTGAATTCTTTTTGTATTTAAAATCATTCTGTAAAAAAGATAATTAAGTTTAGTTTTAAGCTTATTTATGAACAAGTCAACTTAATAAAGTAACGCAAGACTTAAGCTTAATTTGCTTTTGTAAACAAAAAACTTTTTCACTGGTTTTATCGATAAATTCAAGTAAAAAAGACAAAGTTTTACCTGTTAAAGCTTCCAAACCGAACTTCTTCACCTTCTTCTTGTATTTCGGGAACAGCTTGCTTGATTAGCTGTGAAATTTTTCTGTTTGTTACAGCAGCAAACCGTGAAGGCATTTTGCTCGCAACTTACGCGAGTTTGGTGTCGCTCGCTCGGAGAACTGGAGGTGAATTAGTGAATAGTGCAGGATATTCACTGATTGAGTACACAATCAGAACGCGTGAAAAACACTACCCACTGTTTTAGTATATACTAAAATGATTTATTGCCTCGTGACAGACTCTATCTCAGATGACGCTGACCTTCAAAAGTTTAGTTCTTTGGTGAGACTGCGGTTACGTGACCTGAACTTTAAAGATTTTGGTTATGTTCTCATTGCCAACAAGATGCCTCCACAGTACAGGGGGACCCCAAACCTAGCCTTTTTGCAAAACATACCGTGGCTCGCAGTATTTGACTTGTTTGACGCTGCCTCTAAAAAGGATGGACTGTACTACGCTTGCAACGAAACGACGGACTCTCCAAGAGCAAAACTCAGAAGCCTTGATGATTTTAAAGGAGTTTCACCTGACTGGATATCCGGCAAAGGATTCGATATCTCAACAAGAGGTACGACTTGGATTTTGGGAAATGAGGAAAAGCAGAAAGGAGATTGGATAAAATGGTCCAAGGACTGTTTCTACCGAGCTCTTTCCACCTACAAATTCTGTTGTCCTCCTGGGCGGCTCATGTGCATTGTCCTTGGTCTTGATCAAAGTAATGTTCAAGAAATGGTTGACATGATGGAATGTTGTTTCAATATCCTTGGAAATTCAGCTAGTAATTGCGTTACCATTATTAGCGAAAGCAAGACTGTGGCAGATGCTTTTATCAGAGCCTCCAAGGTACAGCTACAGAGAGAACTCAGAGAATGCTCCATAACTAGCATCCCCTGGCTACTGTTGAAAGAAATTGTGCGTGAAATGGTTGGACCATCGCAATTTGAGGAAAGGGGAGCTAAAACGGAACTCCCGTATTTGACTGGACTTAAAGAAGTTTTTAACAAAATGATTCATTCGTGGGATGATCTTGAGGTCTATATTCCAAATCCCCGGCTGCCGCGTTCAACAGAAGACATAGAGAAAGCAAGAAATGCCTTTTATAAGGGTGCAAAAGCCAGTCAAACTAATTTATCCCACAATCATTGCATCGAAAGGACACTGGAAGAAGAGACAATGCTAAGAATTGAACAAGCCTTAAAGACCTTGTCAAAATCAAGTAAAGAGATCAACTGTCACGTCATAACCATCACTGTTGCTTACGAACCAGGATCTGGAGCAACGACTCTTTGTCGCAGAGTCCTTTGGCGCAAACGCATGAAATACCGTTGTGCCGTCGTTAAGGCAATAACAACGAACACAGATTATCAAATCGAGCAACTTCAGGGAATCGTTTACGACGAAACGAACTTTAACTTGTCCCTTCCATGTCTTATTCTTGTCGATAACTTTCCTGAGAATGAGATGAAGCAATTAACTGAGAGAATAATGAGAAGACAGACCAAGTGTGTCATTCTCTCAACGTTTCCAATATCAAAGCTCAGTACAAACTCGGATCTCGACTTGACATTGCGACAGCTGGACGAGAAGGAGACGATTCTAGTCAAAGATATTTTAATTAATATCACAAGCGACATCAAGCGAAGAAGAGAAGCAGAAGAGGTTCTCGAAAGAGAGAAACGATTCATTTGGTTTGGATTGGAATTGTTCGGACGCGAGTATGACAAAATCGAGGAGAGGCTTCACAACCACATCAAGAGTACATTTGACTTTCTGGATGATTCTCAAGAAAGTCACGAGAAGGTCCTTAACTTCTGCTGCTTTCTGCACTATTACAGTGATGGCCGAACGATTCTTCCACACTCAGTTGCCACCGATTTTCTCTATCAAGCCAGTAAAGAGAACGAGGGGAATTTTGCATTAACGCAACATATTCACAAAATCTTTGGTGGACTTCTTCTCGAAGGATTCAACGACACAAACGGCTACTATGGATGGAGACCAGCACATTCTCTTGTTAGTGAAGCTGTTACCTCAAGACTCAACATCAAAGACACGGCCATTGTTCTCTTAGAACAGATTCACAAAGGAAGAGCCTACGTTAACAAGTTTTTAAAAGAGGAAATTTTCAAGGTGTTTTTGGATCGAAAGAGAATTTCTGACCCAGTGTGTTTGGAGTATAATAGAAGAAATACTGAAAACATTGATTCCGATTTTGAGAACGAGGTCCTTGGTTTTTATGGCTTGAAGACGCGATATTCACCTTTGATAGCGGATATCCTGGAAGGGGATGATGGAATTCAAGGAGCCCTTCGATTACTCATCACAATCTGCCAGAAGGCTTCGGAAATGGACGAGAAGGCATACACGTGGCAGCAGCTGGCGCGATTCATGGGATATGAGATGCGTGGGATGGAAATGGACGAGGAAAATGAGGAGCATGGCCGTCTTTATTCTACTATGATTGAAGAACGTGGAATGATGCCCATGCCTAAAACAGGTATCGAAGCAGCGCACACCGCGGTTGACATAGCCATAAATCAACAACCCAAGTACAGGCATCACTATGTGACCAAAGGAACGCTGTACCTTCTACAGCTAAGAGATTTCAAACCAGAAGAACGGCTTACTATTCCGGCAGCGATACCTAAAGCGATCGACATATGCGGCAAAGCATTAGAAGTCTACGACAAAGCACTCAGCACATCTCATGAACTTAACTACTACTCGATGATTGGAAAAATTCAAGCCATTGTTTTACTTCTGGAAATAGTGAAGGGTTTGCCCTTTTTTCGTCTAGATGGTGAGAGCATTACAAAGTATCTAAAGAAGCCTGAAATTCCAAGGGAAATGGAAGACGTCCTCACACCGGAAGAACACAACTATATAAAACATCTCAGTGCGACGACACTTGGTCTTCTCAACGAAGTTTTTGGGGACGTTAAGTTTCGACACATGACAACGTATGACGACAATACAATAAGAGGGTTAACTAATGCCAAAATAAGGGCGTCAAAATTGCGACGAACCTTTTATGAAGTAACCGGCTTCGATAGATGCCAACTAAGTGACGTGGTGGTTCCGGTACCCTCACTACCTTTAACTAGGGATACTCAAGCTCTCTACCAACAGTTTGTACAAGACGTTCTCTTCAAGAAAAACGAGAATCCGTACAGCACATGGATTAATCTAGATGACGGTGAAATCTCGAGGATTTACAACTTACTTAAAGGGCTTTGCTCTCGCGGTTTTGGAAGCCATGATGATATGCTCATTTGCTGTAAGGCTTGTCTTCTTCTGAAAGAGAGACCACCAGTCGAAGAACTAGACGACATTGTGAGTGTGTGGGTCTCGAAATGTCCAAACTCAGAGTGGGCCAATCTATTCAACTACATGATTCACTTCCCATTTCCAGATAAACGGCTAGTTCCCTTTAACCATTCTGCTAAAGAATCAATCACTAAATGTAGCAAAATTGTTCTAGGCAAGACAGGAAAAGGATATCGGAAGTCGGCTGCCGAATACTTTCTTGGAAAGGGAACTGGATTGTATGCTATTGCAAACAGGCAACAGATCAGATCGCTTGAAAACAAGGGGGAAACTAAAACGGACTTTTGGAGAAGTAAGGAGATCTCAGAGAAGCTGGAACGAGTGTGCGGTCAAAAAGACGTCAACGTAAATGGTGTTATAACTTACCAAGGAATTCAGCTACGTTTTGACGACACGCGTTATCCAAAGCAAAGTAAAGATGACTTGTGGTTCTATGTTGGCTTTTCCGTTTCTGGCCCTTATGCATATGACCCAGTTGACAATGATACTTATGCAGACTTCTCGGATCGTCATCCCAGCGAAGGTGTAAACTGGAATTTACCTTTATATGAGAATGCCAACAGAAAATGCAACTTCGATGGGGCTGCATTAAGAGAAAAACACTATGAGGCAACCACTAAAAGAGCACAAAGGTTAGAGGGAGCAGATGCTAAGGAATTTCCCGGTCTTTCTAATAACATTCTATCGAGAGAAAGACAGTGCATGAGCCCATCAACTCCAGGTGTTCCAAACGTTCTAACCAGTGGTCCCTCGGGAGTTCCTAGGTTACCAGACAACTCCGTTGTTTCTCTCAGCTGTTTTGCACCTATTACAGCCCTGCCACCCTGGTTCGTTCGTGACAGCGTGTATCAACCAACTACATCATCACATCCTTCCTCATATGCTTCTGTCGTGCAACAGAGAAGCACAAGACGGGAGGAACCTTCGCTAAAACCCCCAAGCAGACGACATAGAGATTCCTGTGATTTGAAAGGTAGTAAATGGAAATCTATCGAAGCCACTCGTGGAACGAAGAAGCAAATGTTTTCACCTAAATACGTTGACAAAGCAGGCAAACTTCATCATGGAGCTTGGGTACTTGGCGCTGAAAAGTCTCGAGAGTGCATCATTCACAAGACTGAAAGCCGGGATATCCAAAGTACAATTAATTGCACTTTTGCGCATTCCTGGAGAGGGGATACCCTTCAGCACGTTTGTTTAATTTGTACACTCGAGAATCGGGAAACCTGCAGCAAAAAGCAGGGCCATAAGGAGTATATTTGGAACTTAGGACCATATTACGACGAGGAAGGGACGATCTGGAAGGAAACCCCTCTAGAAAGCCCCAAGTAAAGAGCAAATAACATGTCGGTGGAATTAATTCACAACTAAGAAGGCCTTCAACAATCAAGTACTTGCATTTACTTAAGAAACTCAGAAAACCGTGAACACCAGAAATATTTCTTGAACGGTAGAGTTGGCAAGGAAAATGCCAATCATTAATTTCTGGTCTTGAGATTTGCTTGCGAGTCCTAAACTTTTATAGGATTGGTCAGTACACTACAGACCTGTCAGGTGGCTTAGGTCTTTGGTGTTGCCCTTCTAAATTGCAAACATATGGTACAACCTCCAAGAGCTACAGTAGATCACAGTGATTTCTGAGTTATTCTTTTACTAAACGTCGGTAAATACAGTTTCCTCATGGAAAGTGCTGACGTACGATATTTACGCACGAGCTTGTTTTCTCAAAACGAACGAGCGAGGCTTTGCGAGGGAGTGAGCTTTGTGAAAACAAAGGAGTGCGTAAATATCGTACGAAAACACTTTCCATGATGAAGTTTGTTTATTATATACAAACTGAGATTTTCTTGAAATTCAAGGTGATTTATTAAATCGCTTTTACAAGAATCCATGTAGTTTTGAAAGCTTTCTAAATAACTTACAAAAAGTGCTTTCCAAGTTAAATCAAGGCTTGAAATAGTAAAATAAAATGCTGAATTGACTCAACTAAGCTTACTGTAAAAACAGCATAACAATTTCATAACAACGAATTAGTTTTTCGTAAGTATTCATTCAAGAAATATATTGAACAAAAAGGAGGAAAAGCTCGACACAAATAAGTACTTCATAGCTTTTCAACGAAGCTGACTCTTTCTATGAATTGAAGATCCAAAATGTATTTATCAATGCTTCTTTGTTTGAAATTCCCAGGAGGTTTTTCTCGTAGAGAATATTGATCTCATCATCGCTTAGCGCTTCCGCTGCATCTGGTCTATTACCTTTGCCCTCCTTTTTAAGTTGCTTGTTCTTAGCTTCAATACATTTTCTTGCGCGTTCAACAGCAACGTCTTCGATGACACTGACGGGATATTTGCATTCTTTCAAATGTTGATTAAAACTTGAATATAGACCTTTAAGACTCGAAGTTTCAAAGTCTTTGCCGTCTTTTCGCATCACCCTAAGGATAAACTCGCAGAGATATACGTTCAATTCTTTGCCTTCGATGTCTTCAGGATTTCTTTGCTCGTGTTTTTCTCTCAGAAATTCAATGAGTAGCTTCACATCTCTCGTCGTAGCTAGCTTTAGCTCTTGCATTTTTGTTTTGTTGCTCGATAATGTAGTCGTCAGTTGACTTTTCAAAATGCTCAAATCTCGTGGATCATTGAGCCATTGTTAAAAGTACAAGTATTTTTGTACTTTTGGAACGAAAGTTTACTCGGTATGGAGGTTTGCACTCAAGGAACTTGAACTTGTTGAATGAAATCAGTGGTAAGTTTTGACAAGTCTCTCCTGATTGGACGAAATGCTTTACGCAAGTATGAGAAAGCCAATTCGCTGCTGTGATTGGCTATCAGAATTTTTTACGTGGGTTTTCTCATGAAGAAAACCGTGAGTAAATCTCAGTATGTATATAATAAAAGTACTTTTTCACGCTCTCGCATAGAAGGATTCGCAGCACTGAGTAGACTTAGTTGCGAGGTCGCTAGCTAACACACGGCTGTAACTTAACTTTATTGTCAAACTGTTCACGGTTTTTTAGCTCACACACGGTAATCCGGACAAGAGAAATTTAGAGCATAGGCGTCCCAAACTCAATATGTGAGCTCAAATTAATACATCTGTTAATATTTCCTAACGTAACGTTTTATAGGGTTGATATGGGAAAAATTAAAAAAAAAATGGAAAACATATCGCCTTATCTTAGCTTTCTTAAAAGGTTTTTTTTACTCGAAAAATTAGCCTGATAGGCCTTTAATTAACAAACGATGTAGCACAATTAAGGTTCGGAGTCCGAAAACCAATCTCCATATCGCTAGAAAATTAGCACATCTCACGAGCAACTCGCCGCCTCCACCAGTCTTGGAGACGTTAGGCGTTCAGGGTGAACTCGGCCGATCAATTTCGACGTCACAGACCTGTAAGGACGGGCAAAAGTGGAAGATTGAAGTTGTTTTCTATAAGCAGACCCTCCCAGAGAAATGTAAAATTGTCAACGGGCCGGGCTGCCAAGTTTATATAAAAATGCGAAAGTTAACAATGTTTATCACCACCGTTTGTGTTTTGTTTTTGATTAAGCTACGATGGCCGAAGAACAAAAGTCCGGTTGTAGTTCATATCGCTCATATGTCATTGAATCAACTGAACTCATCAACTCACACGTCAGACGACCAAGAGTAAAAGTAAACTGTTATTAAGAATGTTATCAGCTGTTTCTTCGGCGGGAAGCGGCCACCACAGGTTAGAGCGAACACCGTCAAATATTGTCCTACTCTACTGGTGCAACTTCTTTGTCAAATACTCCGTCAAATTTTCAACAACAGCGCTGTTTATACCTTGTTTATCAATGTTTGGGCCTGAAGTCATAGATTCTGTCTTCCTGCAAAAAAGATTACTTTGCTGTCTAAGTAGACAACATTTTCTAATACATGGTTGGTAAAAGTTAGAGGAAAGAGATACCACGTTTCGTAAACTGAATAACTGAATAACTGAATTAGCATGCCTCTACGCAAATTCTTGAGAACAAATTGAATCCAAAAGAGTTTTCAATGGGGTGCAAAGCTAGCGGTTTTGTTGATGTCCGACGAAAGGCCATTGGTTTTGGTGGCTCCGCACATCGCTCGATCTCGAGCACGCCAACAAAACCTACAGCTACGCGCGCTACGTTTTCAGTTCAATTTTGGCGCGCTCTATGTAATGCAATCCACGGATTGGATGGATTCCACGTCATGAATTCGGAATTGCTGGTACTGGATTTCGGATTCTTTGTCAGTGGAACAGAGATTCCAGATTCCAGATTCCAATCGTTTATAGCGAGAATCTGGATTGTTTGAGCTAAATTCAGGATTCCAAACCCAGGATTGTGGATTCCACAAGCAAAATTTCCTGGATTCGGGAATCTGAATTACCTTGCATGGGACGATTTGACTGTCTTTGACGGATAAGGAAGCAGTTTGTAAATTAAACAGTCCAGTTTCCCATGGCATTTCGTCAAAACAGAGAACTTGTTAAAGAGTTCAGAATTGATTATTCTTCATAGGAGATAACTGAGATAGCAAGAGATGTACGTAGGAGGCATGATTTGTATCCGCCACGTGAACGCACTTGAAATTGAAGAAATCGCAATGAAGGCAATGCAAACGAGTGGTTACTTTAGCTTTTGAACTTGATTTGTTCTCCGATTTTTGGACCGTTCTGAGTGATTAGTTGTCATCACCAGTAAAGGGGTAGATGCAACGAATAAAGGAAATTGCATCAAGCCCAAGCCCACAAGTAAACGCAATTACCCAGACAAACTCCAAATTAATGCATTTGATTGCCGTTATGCAAGAACCTATCTTTACGATGGGATTGGGAAAATGACTTTTGTCTTACTTCACCGAGCGTATACCAATACATGATGCAGGTAGTGTTTGTAAGCGTCCTCACCCCTCACAGCTCACCAGCAATGTAATTTTTTGAGAGAATCTTTATGGCTTCCGCTGAGTGACCGATGTCTTGGAACAATTAACGTAGTTGCACCCAAACCTTGGGAAAGGGTGAACAAAACTTAATATACCCTCTAAGACTTGGACTACTTTCACACGGTATCGGACGAATTTTCGACCGGCTAAAAACTGTGACCGGACTCTTCGTTCACAAGGGACCTTTCAATATTTTCGCTTTGTTTACACGGAACTCTGAACGGCTAGGCGTCTAAATTTTCCTACGGTTAAGATGGTTCCGTGTGAACGGAACACCCAAACGCACGATTTTCATCCGATCGAAAATTTCGTTTGGTGCCTTGTGAACGTAGCTTTAGAAGTTAACTACTGCCTTCAATCAGCACCAGAATGAAGGATAGGAGAAGAAAAGAAATGTATTGCAACTTTAAAAAGTTAGGTTTATTTTTTTAAACTTTCCGCCGCTGAAAAAATAGGGACTACGCAACGACGACGGGAAGTTTTACGACGGCATTCCCGACCGAAAGGGACTGGAACGATAACCTCGGTCTGTCGACTCTGTCGAGTTACGTTACGCATCGAGGACGGCGCTCCAAATTTTTGGGCGAAATGCAAAACAATTTTTCTCGGCGACGCGCGCGAAAGGGATTTAGAAATTTGATTAATAACGAAGAAGTTTTGCTGTTGTATGATTTGAACAAGTCAAGCAACCTTGACCTTCCGTATCGGAGCTATGATCAGTTTGACCTTGATCTTTTAACTGACGATGAATGCAAGTCTGAATTAGATTCTACAAGAAAGATGTTTACTTCCTTGCTGAAGTGTTGCAGGTTCCGGATCAAATAAGATACTATAACCGTGTTGTAGTTAATGGAATTGAAGCACTCTGTATTTTTCTTCAGAGATTTGCATATCCTTGTAGATATTCCGATATGCTGTCAAGATTTCCAAGACCAGTTCCGGACCCCCTAAGTTTGCTCGCGCTTACGCGTTTGCATTAGTCTCCCCCCCCCCCCCCCCCCCCCCAAAAAAATAATATTACACACTTTTTTTTTTATGAGCTTTTAAACCCTTTGTTTTCTTTTTAAAGATTTTTTATCCCTCTTTTAAATTCCCTATTTCGTTTCAAAATTTCCCAACCCAGTTCCCGCCCCCCCCTTTTTTCCCGCCCTTACCCGTTTGCATGTGTTCCCCCCCCCCCCCCCCTTACTTGAAAATACGTTCCGCGGGCCCTGCCTTAACTAGAAGTCATACATAGCCACCTAATTTTCTATGTTAATGGTTAATATTTTGTTCTTGTTTTCTCTCGTATTTAACTTTTGTCTTATTTTATCTTACTTGTTGTTATCTGAAAAAACTAAAAAAGTTTTCAGTTGTTGTTCAGTCAGATCAATCTGCTCCTAAGTATGTCGTCTGCAGGGTAATAAAGAGCTTTTAGCAAAAACGTTCTAAAAATTTCCAAAATAAATTTTTTTTAAAATTAAATTTCTTGTTTGAGCTAAATTTACATCACACAAAACGTATTCATATTACAACTTGACGAAACAAACATAAAAATAGCTGAGGTTACATTTATGCTTGAATTCGCTTAGCTACTTCCAATAAAAGGAAAGGACGGTGAACGGTGGACGGTGAATGGCTCAACTTTGCAGGACACATGGCTAAGTCAAAGCGATTAGCTAGAGGGTAACCAGTGCAAGCAACAAATTTAAATAAGAAAAAATTTTCATTTGTTTGAAAAGACGGTGAAAGAATTACAGCGGAGTGCTTCTTGTTTTTCCATCTCAATGACGGAATTTAGTTTGCCCTTAAAAAGAGTCATGGTTCTAAAATTTTCCAAAATAATTCATACGGCCAGCAGGTTCTGACTTTTGACAAGGGCCAAACCTGTTTTTTGTTATCCAAATTAAACCACTTTATCGATTATTTTGTCGTTTTTAAGTGAGGGTTTAGTAATTAATTAGTTATAGCCCAACACCTTTTTGGTAGAAAATCAAAAGACTGTTTTCTTTTTCCGACGTAAATTTTAGATGTAGGTATATCAGTAAGAACATTCCATTTTTGGTCCGACTCACCAATTTATAAAAA